GAGAGGGGAGGGGTATCTTAGATAGTGATGGTATATCCATCCATCTAGGGGTAGAGGTATGGGGTATATAGAGAGGTCTATGGGCCACACGTGAGCCCTTCTATGTACTAGACAGAATATGCAGTCTTAGCTAAATAATAGACACGACCAAAGGGAGTAGGCTATAGATATGTTTATATTAGGTTATTGTATGAGTATAATGTGGAATATTTGATAGGTGAGTAGATGGCTCAGTGTTTTCGGTTGTACCTTCCTCGAATGAGTGTAGCTATGTATGCTATTGTCTGTGTCTATGACTTATTGTTCGTTATGTTTAGTTGTGTTATTTTTCTGGTGTCTATACTCTTGATCTTTCTTGTTTGTCACTGTAGCTTGACTTCTTCCTATTTTGTTCTTCAGTATCTTGTGCTATAATCCTTCTCATTGTGACTTGTTTCTATCATGGGGGATAACCTTAGTACCTTGTTGTGCAGGCTCTATTGCTTGGGTGTGCCTATTGAGTAATACAGCTTATGTTGTGTAGGGTGATAGGTCCAGTGTAGAGGAGTGCTGATTAGTAGTATAGAGATGTTTGCCTAGAGGTGTCACATGAATGTATCCATGGTTCCTGGTATGATCGGTAAAGGTTGTTGATTAGTATGGTTGATGGTGACTCTTTGTTCTTGTAGGTCTGTCTAATGAGGTTCTCTTGGGCTGGTATGGGTTATACTGTTCTGGTTCTTATATGTGTTGTTCAATGTTTTGGTTTCTATGATAGTTCTGATGTGGCCTAACGGTGTTGTGTACATAGAGCTCTCAATGCCTTCTTTTCCTCTGTGGTATATAGTAAAACCCCTACAGTGTCTAATAGACTCTTCCCTCCCTAGGATAGCCACCCTTGGGGATAGTTATGATTACCCTAAAGGGTAGATGTAATGATAATGTAAATGAAGCAGGCTTAGTATTTTTTGGCTTCAAAAAAGTGATAAATTCCAGTATTTGACTCTGATGTTGGATTTATTTATGTACATCATTTTTTAGTATTGTTGTGAGTTCCAGAAAGGTGATATGTGGATGAGCAATAGAAGTAAGTATGGTTCATTGTCTAATAGTGGTGTAGGATCTGTAATCTTGGGGAGAGTTAGATATATCTTAAGTCGGTGCAAATGAGTATAAATTAGATCTGTTATATTATTCCTTAGGAGTGTTAGGGGATATATAGTCATAGCTTTTTAGTCGTAAGACTAAGGGTAAGAATATGAATGAAGTCTGTGTCCGGGTTATTCGTAGATGTAGGTTCAAATTATCTCTTGTAAAAAAATAATATTCTAGGCACCCCACCCTTGACGAGGGGATCACTTGCCTCCAAGACAGTGAGATGAGGAAGACCCTACAGTGGAGTTAGATCCCGTAGAAAAGTCCACACTTTTTGCAGTGGAGTGCAAGGAAAATCGAAGAGGACTCATGTCAACTAGATTCGAGCCCCACGCATAAAGCTCCTTGAACCCACTGCAGTTAGCCAAGGGCGAGAGATCAGAGAGATGGGGATGCTCACTTCTGTCGATAGCCCATAAGACTTTCCAATTCGAGAGACACCTTTATAGGTGATAGGTTTTGTGGGAGGGTTACCCCATCCCATTCGAAAGTTTCAGAAGACATCATTCACTAGGTTGTCTGACATAGTGATTTCTTCATGACTACCTATAAAGATTAAGTACCGAAGATCTTTTGGAAGGTTCTCGAATCTTCCAAATACAGGCGGTCCGTGAAGATCTTTTTTGAAAAAAATTTATGGATAGAGATGACTCATAGATTCATTTAAGTTTATTCGACCGGTGAAGAGAATTTATATCATGAATTTCCTACCCCTGGTAGGAGGTGATTCTAGTTCTAGTTTTAGATCCCTAATGAAAGGAGTCCAGTCGTAAAGACCAGGAACTACTTAGGGTAGAAGGTAACCGATCCCTGGGGGGTTCAGGGGTAAATCTACGAAAGAGGGAGGGTAACTGGAAATTTTTCTGACTTGTTAAGATGGGCGAGGCCAAAATCAGGTAGGAGATTGTATGCGGTGAGTTGGGAGGCATTCACAACGAAGATGACATCGTGGTGTGGGCATCAAAAAAGTAGTGAAGTGAATTTTCATCAAGAGACTTCCAGCACGGGGCATCTTTTTTGTTTTCCTGTCAGTCGTGAAAGAAGATAGAAATACAAAGGAATCAATAGACCGGAAGGATGATTCATTCTCAGAACGTCAACCATTAAGTTAACGACTATGCAGTAGGGGTGGTCTGTCCACGGAAGGCGTCTGACAATACTGACTTTGGTCGTCACAGCAAGAGAGACGACGACTTTGTCTATGCGCACAAGGTGTTGGTCAATACCGATTCATTTGAGTGAGGGATGTCGAAGAATACTGATTCACTTGTGTGAGACACACTCTTAGGGTTAGCCTATACTTCAAGTATAAACCATGTCATGTCAAAAAAAGAGGGAGTTCTTTCAACTCAAGCAATTACCAATAGATTGGACGACGACAAGGAAAACTTCTATCAGATTTTCCTCAGACAAGGTCATATTGCAAGTGATGCTTGCGATCATCTTCGCACTTACTACGAAGAACAGCGATTAAGTAGTAGCAATATAACCCCTTACATTCATTGGTGTTAACTTAAGATACAAGTGTATAGGTACTTCGTCGTAAGAGAAACCACTAATGAATCCTATGAATATCCCTCCAAAAAGGGTAGTCTCCAGTCCCTTCCGATAGAGTTTGAAGACTGCATTGATGTCAGGCTGGAAAATAATCGGTTTTCTTATTTCATTCCTGCTGCACTCAGAGCATCGAAGTGGTTGAATTTCTCGTGACCGTAGACTTCCACAGGCTCCATTGTCACATTTGCCTGAGATAGACTGCACACCACCGAGGTTCGAAACTCTTCTGCAAAGATCACAAAGCATTATTTCCTGACCTCTTCTCACAGGGCTAAAGGATGGGCAGATGTTCTGCGAATTAGTTCCACCAGACAGATAAATACGGCATATTATTCTATTTGTCCAAGGGTGATGACAGTAGTAAGAACAGGTAAAAGATGATCGATCCCGCCTACGAAAGTTAACCGTCTGTACTCCGGAAAGTTAGATACTAACACTGATACTCAGGTGACCTAGGGCTATATTACACCAGGGTGGCTGATGGTTGGAGATTTATATACTTTGGATGTCCTGAAGCTTTATCTGTTGTTGATTAACAAGGAGAGAGGTTAGTGTGACAGGTGCACAGATTATCACAAGAGGATTTCTAATTCTATCTACATTCTTTGAGTTACCCCATTTATGTGGATTGATTACCTAGTTTTATTTCTACTGTTATTCTATTATAGCTTTTTATATTTATTGGCACATGTCCAACACTGATTGATTTAATCTATAGAACTAGCTAGTGAATCATCACCAGTTGGATCTCTCTATCAACCTGAATTTCTATCCAATAAAATTTTGACAAATAAAGGGATAGTCACCCCCGTCCTTCCTCTAGGTCAGCCCCTTGGGTCAGGGGTCAGGGAATAGCCGAGAGGCATTAGAGTTGAGTTAGTAATATAATTAGAGGTAGTGTCTTTTAGGAATGAATAGATTCCCTCGTGGGAGGATCTAAAATCTACTTCTTGGGGTATCGAAGATGCCTGTAGGAGGGAGACCCTCCACCATCCCCCAATCTTAGGGGG